CCAACTCTCTCAGTCTGTCCTCATAAGGGAGGTGCTCCAGCCCCTGATCATTGTCATTGCCCTTCTCTGGACCTGCTCGAGCAGGTCCATGTCTTTATGTTGGGGCCCCCAGAGCTGGACACAATACCACAGGTGGGGTCTCACAAGAGCAGAGTAGAGGGGGAGAATCCCCTCCCTCAACTTGCTGGCCACACTTCTCTTGATGCAGCCCAGGATACAGTTGGCTTTCTGGGCTGCGAGCACACACTTCTAGCTCAAGGTCAGTTTTCCACCCATTGCTACTCCCAAGTCCTTCTCCTCAGGGCTGTTCTCAATCTACTCCACCCATCCCTGACTCATGTGCAGGACCTTGCACTTGGCTTTGTTGATCTTCAAGAGGTTTGCACAGGCCCACCTCTCAAGCCTGTCAGTTTCCTCTGGATGGCACATCCATTCCCTCCACCATGTTGACCGCACCACAGAGCTTAGTGTCATCCACAAACTTGCTGACAGTGCACTTGATCCCACTGTCTGTGTCAGCAACAAAGATGTTAAAGAGTACTGATCCCAACACTGACCCCTGAGGAACACAACTTGTCACTGGTCTCCACTTGGACATTGAGCCATTGACTACTTCACTTTGAGAGTGACCATCCAGCTAATTCCCATCTGCACAGTGCTCCATCCATCAAAACTTCATCTCTTCAATTTAGAGACAAGGATGTCATATGGGACAGTATCAAATGTTTTGCACAAGTCCAGGTAGATGATGTCAGTGGCTCTTCCATTATTTACCGACACTGTAACCCTGTTGTAGAAGGCCACTAAATTTGTCAGACACAATTTGCCCTTAGTGAAGCATTGGCTGTCACCAATCACCTCCTTATATTCCATATGCCCTACCATAGTTTCCAGGACGATCTACTCCGTGATCTTGCTTGGCACAGAGGTAAAACTGACTGGCCTGTAGTTCCCCATAGATACTTGTCAAAAAGAAAGGAGGATAAGGAGCTGTCTAAGTACCCATGGGAAGAGATGTTGTATCTTCTAAAAGAAATTTCTTCATCACATAGGTAATCATGAAGATAATATCACTTTACCATGCCCCTTCTCATTATGGAATGGGCACCTTCTGTCCTCAAAAACACATTAGCAGCATTCTTACAGGTTTTCTTCTGTTTTATTGTCTTCTGCTAAGCACATTGGAAAGCAAAATTAGAATAAACTACTTAAAGTGTAATTTGATTTTATATATGACAGATTGGAAAGAAATCATCTAATTGTACAAATGGCTTTATATGACAATATGTAGAATCTATCAAGGCACACACAATGAAGAATATTCTTGTAAAGTCTTATTTTAAACACTGCAGAGGTTTCCAATCTAGGGAAAGTTTGACATAGAAGAGCATCCTTGTTTAATCTCACTTTAAACCTCCTGTTGAACTTGGGTAAACAAAAGGAGTTCACAGGACTCTTCATTGACTCTGATATGTTTAACGATATACACTTCATTTGGGTTTGGGCCCCATATTATTGAGGCCATCTGCCTCCTTTTCTTTTCTTGCTCAGTGAGTCTGTTTGTGTATAAATCCTGACACTTCTTCCATAACATTCTAAAATTTAGATCTTTCTAATGAACTTCAGCAGTCCTGAAACATACACTAAGGAATGACCTAAGTATTGATACTTTCTTTTACAAACCAGATTTTTTTTTCACAATCCCCTATTTTCTGGGTGCTTGGCTATTACCCAGTTATTTACATGTAAAACCAGTTTTGTGTTGTCTCAACATAGGTCAAACCTTTATCTGTGCCCCGATCTTGTTTCATCATGGTTACCAGTACTGCATATCCTGTGGTTTCCTTATGACCCTCAGTGGTAAACTGGAGATCACAAAAAAAATATAATTGCTGAGATGATCTTACTCTATTGTATTCTCCACTGAGTTCCTCCATTCTGTTCTGCATGTCCCTCTGTACCACACAGTCTTCTTCATAATGTCTTCAAGGTACTTCACAACTGTGAACCTTCCTACACTTTTGCTGTCATGAAAACCATACTTCTACATTCATAGACTACAAATCTAATTCCTTAAGCAGAGTCTGAGTCTTAGATTCATATCTGTGGGTCTCTTAATAACAGGTTGTACACTGTTTATTTCTGCTTCCAGGTCTGTTATTACTTGCAAAAAAGTATGACCGCAGTGGATAAAAAAGACTCCAATGGATAGAAGCAGAAGACAAAAGAAGCAGGATTCATCATGGGTTACACCCAAGGGTGCTCAAAGTGTTGGCAGATGTGCTCGCCAAGCCACTGTCCACGATTTACCTGAAATTGTGGTTAACCATGGAGATCCCATTGGACTAGAGGGTGGCAAATGTGACACCCATCTACAAGAAAGGCAGAAAGGATGATCCAGGAAACTATAGACCTTTCAGTCTGACCTCAGTGCCAGGGAAGGTCATGGAGCAGGTCATCTCGAGTGCCATTAAAAGTCATATCATGGACAATCAGACGCTCAGGCCCAGTCAGCATGGGTTTATGAAAGGCAGGTCCTGCCTGACAAACCTGATCTCCTTCTACGACAGGGTGACCTGCTTATTGGATGAGGGAAAGGCTGGGGATGTTGTCTACCTTGACCTTAGTAAGGCTTTTGACACCGTTTCCCACAGCATTCTCCTGGCGAGACTGGCTGCTCACGGCTTGGATGGGCACATGCTTTGCTGGGTAAAAAACTGTCTGGATGGCCAGGCCCGGAGAGTTGTGGTGAATGGAGTTAAATCTGGCTTAGGGATCTGGTGTAGTTGGGAACTGTCAATGTTAGGTTAATGTTGGACTGGATGATCTTCAAGGTCTTTTCCAACCTAGATGATTCTGTGATTCTGTGATCTCATCCTCAGAAATTCCGCAGAGATTTCAGGATGAACAGCCAAAAGATTGAACTATGGAGATTCGGAGAGCAAGGGCTCAGAGCAATGTTGAAATTTACTGTATCAATGTAGGCATAGTCTTATGATTTTTCAGGCCTTCCCTTTTGAATTTTCCTTCATTTGTTTTAAATCCAGTTAGTCTGGAATCACCAAGACAGTGACCAGCTGCCACAACCTGTGTGATTTGATAATCAGCCCCTACTTTCTCCAATTCTTTTCAACTGTTCATCATCCTTCAATATTGTGCTTTAATTAAGTCTACAGCCGTGGTGCTTCACCTGGCTGTTTTTTCTTTTGAATGTTAATGGTATTAATATATAACAACAGCTATTCCCCGTGAAAAACACTTATTATTATATCCCTTTTTTATTATGGGAAATTTAAAGAAACTTTAAGGAGGTTGCATTTCAGCTGGTGTGCTCATAAATACTAAAACTTCTGAGGTTGTTCTTTGTTAGAAACAGCCTGAATTAATTGTTTTCTCCAATGTATGCCAAGCAGTCAAACTAAGAAAACTAAAGCCAATGTGACTTTTTCTTTAATCCTTATTTGATTGCTTGATGCAGTCTACTGATGCATCTGTTGGCGCAGTAGATTAAGTTACTCTTAACCACTGCAACCCCTATTGCTTACAGAGCCAAATCCTAGAGGCATTTTTTTCCTCTGTCATTTATTAGCTGCAAAAGTAATTAAAATGTTTAGCAGATAAAGCATGAGAATACTCACTGGCTGAATATTCAGACCTTTCTGAAACTGCTGCAGTGACAGACAATCCAGGTGGCATTTCCAGGTGCACAGCTGAAGTAAATGATGAAGCTGGCATCTTTGGCAGTTCTTCTCAGTGCTGATGGCACCGGATTATTTATTTTTTTATCCAGTTTGTAATCTCCATTCCACTTTTGTAGGCACAGAAACACCCACATATCATTTGTCTTCACATCTTTTCCTCACATACATGCTATTAATTGCAGTCATTGTATGAAATATTGTTCTATTTTCCCTAATTCTGGTTTTACAAAGTACCACTTTGCACATGCACACACATATACACAGACTTAATTTTATTTTAGTTTCAGGTTTTTCATTACAGGAGCCAGAATATGTAGGTTTTGTGGTGGTGGTTTTTTGTTTTTGGGGTTTTTTTTGGTTTTTTTTGGGGGGGGGGGTGTTAGTATGATATTGCTAAAAATATTGTAAGAGAGAAGCACTCAAACCAGTGAACCATTGTTGATATTTCTGAGTTTCAGATTGGAGTCCAGGAAATACTAATGATTTCTGTCTGATCTTGTCTCACTCTGTTGAAATAGATGTCATTATGGCACATAATAACAAAATTTAAATTGCCTTAAAAATGTAATAACAAATATTTTAGAAGCAATAAAAATAACCCTCTCAAAACACACTACATGCACTTGACAATGAGACATAGGGATTTTACTATATGTTTAAATAGAATCCCTCATTCATTTTTTCAGAACCTGCAAATACAGTCAAGATTTTTCAAAACTAGAAACTGTAACAAATAACATACATTCCAAAATAGTGCTGATTAGCAACAAATACAAAACATCTCAATGCATTTTAAAAAACCTATATCCATTTAAAGCATAATATGACTGGTGAGCAGTGACTTGATTGAAATGATTTGATATAGATAATATTTCTCACTTGTAAATCTTTCTCATAAAAATAGACATTTTGTTAGTTTTGACATACCATAGAACCATAGAATGGTTTGGGTTGGAAGGGACTTTACACATCACCTAGTTCCAACCACCCTGCCATGGACAGGGACACCTTCCACAACATCAGTTTGACCAAAGGCCCATCCAACCTGCCCTTGAACTCTTCCAGTGAGGGAGTAGCTACAATCTGTCTGGGAAACCTGTGCCAATGTCTCATGATCCTCACAGGAAATAATTTCTTCCTTAAGTCTAGTATAAATCTATCCTCTTTCAGTTTAAAACTGTACCCCTTATCCTACAATTACATTCCCTGATGCAGAGTCCCTCCCCATCTTTCCTGTAGCCCCCTTTAAGTACTGGAAGGCTGCCATAAAGTTTCTCCAGAGCCTTCTCTTCTCCAGGCTGAACAACCCCAACTCTCTCAGCCTGTCCTCCTAAGGGAGGTGCTTCAGCCTCCTGATCATTCTCATGGTCTTCCTCTGGATCCACTTGAACAGGTCCACATCTTTATGTTGGGGACCCCAGAGCTGGATACAGTACTCCTGATGAGGTCTCACAAGAGCAGAGTAGAGGGAGAGATTCCTCACAATCAACCTAGTGGCCACATTTCTCTTGATGGGGCCCAGGATACGGTTGGCTTTCTCATCTGTGAGCGCACGTTGCCAGCTCATAGTTGGTTTTCCATCCTCTAATATCCCAAGTCTTCTACAGGGCTACTCTCAATTCACTCTTCACCCAGCCTGCGTTTGTGCTTGTGACTGCCCTGACCCATGTGCAGGACCTTGCACTTGGCCTTGTTGAATTTCATGAAGTTTGCATGGGCCCACCTCTCAAGTCTGTCCAGGTCCCTCTGGATAGTATTCTTACCCTCCAGTGTGTCAAGTGCACCACACACCTTGATGTCATTTGTAAACTTGCTAAGAGTGCTTATTGTGGCTTGAGCTTAGCTGGAATCTAATCACCATGGAGCCAGTTACTCACATTTTTTCCTCTTGGCAAAATAGGGGAGAGATAGAAAGGAAAAACTCATAGGTTGAATAAAAAAAAGTTTAGTGATAGTAACAAAACCACAGTAATAATAGGAAGTCCAAACAGGTAATACACAATGCAGTTGCTCACCACCTGATGACTAGTAGACAGCCCGTTCCCTGGCAGAGATACTGAGAGATTGAAAAATCCTGTGCGCTGACCAGAAGCCAAAATGAAAGAACCCATCTTCTTTATATTTCAAGCATAAAGTCACATGATATGGAATATTCCAATGTCTAATGCAGGTCCGGCAATCCAGCTGTTTTCCCTCCCAGCTCAAGGAAAGTTAATTCTACCCTGGCTGAAATCCATGTCATACGCTCCAGGTATGGTCTCTCTCAGCTCAAGAAAATTATCCCAGCCAAAAACAGGACAGTGTACTCAATTCTCTGGAACTCCTCTTTGAGAACAGGGAAGGGCTGGTGGATGATGTGGCAATTGGAGGACGATTAGGGCACAGCAATCATGAAATAATAGAGTTCTCTATTCTTAGAGAGACCAAGAGAGGCAGCAGCAGAACTGACATCCTGGACTTCCAAAGAGCTGACTTTGAATTGTTTGGACACCTGCTTAACAGGATCCCTTCGGAGATGGTCCTGAGGAGTATAGGGGTCCAGGAAGGCTGGGCACTCTTTAAGAAGTGTTAATGGCACAGGAGCAGGCGGTCCCCAGGTGCTGTAAGAGAAGCCAATGCCAGAGAAGGCCACTCTGACTAAACAGGGAGCTTTAGCTGGAACTCAGGGAGAAAAGGAGAGTTTACAGCCTTTAGAAGATGGGGCCAGTGACTCATGGTGATTGCAAAGATGTTGTGAGGCTATGCAGGGTGGAAATCAGGAGGTCTAAAGCCCAGCTAGAAATTAATCTGGCTTCAGCAGTCAAGGATAACAAGAAATGTTTCAATAAGTACATCAACAGCAAAAGAAAGACCAGAGAGAGCCTCCATCCCCTGCTAGACACAGAAGGAAACATGGCAATGAGTGATGACACAAAAAAGGGTGGGAGTGTTGATCTGCTCGAGGGTAGGGAGGCTCTGCAGAGAGACCCGGACAGGCTGGAGCCATGGGCTGAGGCCAACTGGAGGAGTTTCCATAAGGCCAAATGCCGGGGGCTGCCCTTGGGCCACAACAACCCCCAGCAGCGCTACAGGCTTGGGGAGGAGTGGCTGGAGAGCTGCCAGTCAGAGAGGGACCTGGGGGGGTTGATTGACAGCCGGCTGAACAGGAGCCAGCAGTGTGCCCAGG